GGCCCTCTCTTGGCAGGTTTGTTGTGGTGCCATATTCTTTCAATTTTTTAATAATGGATTTAATGGTGCTCCGTGGGATGTTCAAAGTTTCAGATATTTTTTTATAACCCAACCCTGATCTGTACATCTCCACAACTTTGTCCCTGACCTGTTTGGAGAGCTCCCTGGTCTTCATGGTGCCGCTTGCTTGGTGGTGCCCCTTGCTTAGTGGTGTTGCAGACTCTGGGGCCTTTCAGAACAGGTGTATAAATACTGAGATCATGTGACAGATCATGTGACACTTAGATTGCACACAGGTGGACTTTATTTAACTAATTATGTGACTTCTGAGGTAGTTGGTTGCACCAGATCTGATTTAGGGGCTTCATAGCAAAGGGGGTGAATACATATGCACGCACCACTTTTCCGTTATTTATTTTTTCAAATTTTTTGAAACAAGTTATTTTTTTAATTTCACTTCACCAATTCAGACTATTTTGTGTATGTCCATTACATGAAATCCAAATAAAAATCAATTTAAATTACAGGTTGTCATGCAACAAAATAGGAAAAATGCCAAGCGTGGTGAATACTTTTGCAAGGCACTGTATACTGTACATGTATACAGTATATGTCATTTAGGAGACACTTTTATTCAAAGCGACCTACAGTCATGCATGCATACATTTGTTAGGTAACAGTGACCGAGGAATCAAGCCCACTATCCTGGCGTTGCAAGAGCCATGCTCTACCACACGTGTTAAACTCATTCCATGGATGGCCGAGTGTCTGCGTGTTTTCGCTCCTCCCTTGTACTTGATTGATGAATTAAGGTCACTAAGTAACTCCCCTCACCTGGTTGTCTAGGTCTTAATTGAAAGGAAAAAACAAACGCCGCAGACACTAGGCCCTCCATGGAATGAGTTTGACATTCCTGCTCTACCAACTGAGCTACAAAGCAGGGTTTCCCAACCTTCTCGTCAGGGACCACCAGACATTTCACATAATTTGTAGTTGCCCTAAACTGGCACACCTGATTCAATTAGTCAACTATCACCAAGCCCTTGACTAATTGAATCAGATGTGCCAATTCAGGGCTACCACAAATATATGAAACATATTTTGGTCCCCGAAGAGAGGGTTGGGAAGTACTGCTACAGAGGACTACCTTACCCATTAGTTTTGACTAAAATGCTTAACATGTTAGCTATAGAGGGACATCCTTGAGGCTACTCTGTAGAGCTGAATGAATTCCACCCTAGTCTGACCCCAGGGAGTTGCACCATCACATTACAGGCCTGCCAAACAGTTTGAAGGCATCCTGTTTCCTATGAGTGTAATGTCCTTGGTTTCCCCTGGCTCAATTTTACTTTCTAATGATTTACTTATATATTCATCAGAGTCATTGAGAGGCACTGCAATGAAAATTATGCAGACGTTAGATTATCAGAAAGTCCGCATTATGTTTGATATTTACATTTTACTATAGCGTGATAATCTGAAATAATATTTTACAGTACATATTGTTACCATTGTCATCAAGAACCCCAATCCTTAAATGTGCTGATATACCTGTTGGGCAAATCAGTGAAGTAACAAGAAAGTCAAGATCAATATTCACAAATCACTCTTTCTATTATCTATTAGGCTAAAGCATAGCACATAGGCCTAATAGTTATATTGTTTCCCAAGTTGTACTCTGGACCCCAGAGATGGAATTGATGCGAAGGTTGGCTCAAATGATACGCAGATATTGTGTTAGACTGTTATCTACTGGGGATTTTTAGTGTTGCAGTTGAACCCAAATTAATCATTTGAAATGTCAAAACCTTTAATTGGTGGCAAAATATACCATTCTTTGGTTGCTTGGATGGTTAATTATTATCATAATCAAAAGCTTAGGGTATTGCAAAAATACTACTCTCCCTCCAAAACCAGACCACAGTCATTCTTATGTTCTTGATAAATCCATGACTGAATGACAAGATATGACTTCATTACTGCAATTATTGGTTGTATTTGTATCATTGGCACTCATAAACATTCCATTGTATACTTTCTCTGTACTGTCTATCCTGAACAAATTGTTCTCTGAATGGGATGAATGGAAGTCTGAAAAAATCGAATCTATTGGAATTGTAGAAAACAGAACTGGGCAATTCCATGCCAGGATGGCCCAAATATTTTTATGATGTTTTGGATCTTCCTGAAATTAAATCCTTAAAACGTCATTTGGTAACCAAAATAATGACTAAGAAATAACTGATTAAAGTTGTTACATCTGTGAAATGTTGGCTTACCCAGGCCTTCTTTAAAGTGGCAATCTGCCGTTACTACATCAATTTTAAACTTGTGATATGTACCCATTGATTCTTGAAGAATATAACTTATGAATGCCTCATGAGCTTAGTTCAACTGTCGTACCCCATCAGAACCCAAAATATAAGCTTGTTTTACTCCAATGTTTGTAAACAGTTAATGTAAACATACACTATATAGCCTCAAAACATGGTTAAAACTATAATTTTGATAGCTCTGTCTATGATTTGAGAGTGGTTGCATTTCTCCACCCCATCCCTCAGCTTTTTACCTAAACAGGGGCAGGGCCTACTTTGTTATTGCATCAACTGCTGATTGCCCCTTTAATACACTACAATGATGTGTCTGTAGAAGCTACAAAGCCAGTTTTGGTGTCATCTAAAACCTTGCAGTTTGTTCTGAAAAATAAGTATAGTATTTAGATTAAGAATACAATTTATATACATAAAAAATATAAACGTAAATATCTTAAAAAGTACCCTTTTAATCTATTTTTCTAAAGATATGACCAATTTTATACATAGCTTATCACTGCCAAATGGGGTTTACAACTAAAATCACGAAAGTGGGGTACGAGCCAATCTTTCCCCATTCAAAGCAGTTCAACTTGGCCTGAATTCAAGCAATAACGACACACATAGTTGACACTTTTTATATATATTATATATATTATATCTCCCGTCCAAATGTTGTGAATCGTGTGTACCCGGCCAATGGAATTTCAGCTGCGGCCACAAATTCCAGACCAATGATGTATATAAGCCCAGGCTGCATCCTTCCTATCCACGCCAAACTTGGTGCAAAACCACAACCACGACTAACCTAGCAACATTCAAAGCTGCACTGATTGGTCAGCGAGTTTCTTCCAAGCGCTTCCATGTCGAAACCATGCCCCAAAGCAGCGTGAAAGCAGTGATTGGATAGTCGAAGAGCCTCATCCAGGCGCAAAGACAGGCTAAAATGTGATAAGTCTGAAGTTGTTGACATTTTTTACATGTTTTACCTTAAAATTTGGCTCATTATTACTGGATTAAGTACAAGCATAATTCACACGTGGTAACTGTTGATTACTGATTTACATAACTTGATTTTAGAAATACTGGCTTGCAAAGCTTGCTTGAAAAACTTGATTTTAGCAAGCATGGATGCTGCAAACAATACAGCGATAGATACTTCAAACCCGGTACTGTGAGGTAAGACAACATTTTCAAATATCTTAGCTAGCTATAATAGTTAGCAAGTTAAGCTTGATAATATGCTTTCAAAACGCTTTGGGGCGTGGTTTTGACTTGGAACCGCTTGGAAGAAACTCACTGACTAATCAGCGTGGCTTTGAATGTTGCTAGGATACTTATGGGCGTCGTTTTGCACCAAGTTTGGCGTGGATTTGCTGATGCTATATATTGGCCAATGAGAGGCTTTGAAGCAACTGGCCACCATATTGGTACTCCTCAGGAGAAGCAGTCCTCCATAGCAATTAACTGAATTCTACAGTATTTCAATCAATGGCTTCAAGGACAAAATTACATGTATTTAAGTATTTCTTTGTTGTAGTGGGGATAGTAACATCAGTACTCTAATAAAAAAAAAAACTTTAAGGAAAAAGGGTTTTATATTTGATTTAACTTTATTTTTATGTTCAGTTCACATAGTATAATTTCAAAGTATGCATAAAGGTGTCTGTAATAGAATATACTTGGCAAAAACGAATGTAGAAATTAATAAATGCATTAGCTTCCAAAGTATTGTTTACAATAGTGAAGAAGTACAAAAATGGCTGTGCAGTGGCTTCAAAATCCCTGTCAGTCATTTAGGGTTTATACACATCATTGGGCCAGACTGGGGTTGGACATCACCATTTAGTCTTCATAACATTTTATTCTCTGTTCCTTGCCACTTTATTAAAGCCATTTAGAGCTATTTGAATAAAAAATTCTTACCTATTGTACCTTTAAAACAATATGTCTAAAAATGAACAAAATTAAATGGTACTTTTGAGATATTTAGATTATATTTGTAATTATCAATAAATTAATGTAAATAAAATGTATTCTTAATCTAAACACTACTCATATTTCAGAATACACTGTAAGGTTTCAGATGACACCAACACTGGTTTTGTAGCATCTACAGACTCATCGTTGTAGTGTCTAAAAGAAGGCCAAAATTAGTTATACAAATGTAAAGAATTGGATACAGATTTCAAAGGTATGCCAAACATCCTTCCACCAAAGGATATTTTTATGGATTTCATTTCAGGAAGATCCAAAACATCATAAATATCTTTGGGCCATCCTGTCATGGAATTGCCCAACTATGGAAACATTGACTAGATTGCCCTTCCTTGCACAATGTTTGCTCCATGCTCTCTCTGTTCCCTACAGAATGGGTTGTCTCAGTAAGTTCATTTCTCAAGCAGCTCTTCCTGGTCCAAATAAGTGAATAAAAGGCCATGTGCATCTCTTTCCTTTCACTCTGCCTTGCCACCAGCCAGGGTGCGACAATAACAGGAGAAGTCCTTCGCCACTTTCTTACCAGTGCATAGGTAACTACAGTCGTGCATGCCTAATGACGCTTTTTTCTAATACGATGTAACTCATAACTCACATTTCCATTCTTAGTTGGACAATAACAATAAACCTGTATTGTAATGTAGATATATTATTGTTTGTTCATCTTCCCTACAGGTGACTGCAGTTAAGATGTCTCCATGCTATTGGCTGGCTCTGTTTGCTCTAGTCCCCTTAACTCTGGCCACCAACCCTGGAGTCAAGGTCAAACTCACAGACAAGGGCATTGACTATAGTAGGTTTGAGGCAGGGGCAATAATATTGCATGGTTTTATATCAAGATGAGGCTATGTATTGTGATCATGTGGCAGAGGTACAGTAAATGCTGCTGTACAGTGAAAGGCCCCTTGCACAGTCTTCACATTTTGCTGCCTTAAAACTTTCTTTAAAATGATCTAGACAACCTACTCAATTTTCAATGCGAAAGAAAAAAAAAAGAACATTTTCCAAATTAGTAATAAAAAAATAAAAAGAGCTGTCTTGATTGCATATGTCTTCATACCCCAGAGTTAGTATTGGTGGAAGCACATATGGCCGCCATTACAGCTTCTAATGAGATTCTAGCAACTTTCCACAACTCTAAGGATAATATATATCCATTGTTTTTGTCAAAATTGCTCAAGCTCTTAACATGATGCTGCCACCCCAATACTTGAAAATACAGAGGGTTTCACTCTGTGTTGTGTTGTATTGGATTTGACCCAAAACTGTAGTTTTTAATTTAGGCCAAAAAGTTAATTTCTTTGCCGTGTTGTCTTGCAGTATTCCTTAACAGCCTTTTTGTAAAGAGAATCGAGGATTTTTAGCACAGGCTTCCTTCTTTTCACTTTTTCATACAGGCCAGTAATGTGGAGAGAATGCAATGTTGTTGATCCTCTGTATTTTCAAGTATTGTGGTGGCAGCATCGTGTTAAGGGTATGCTTGTCACCAGCAGGGACTGGGGAGTTTCTTAGGATCAAAATAAATATGAACGGAGCAAAGCCCTGGTAAGTTACAAACAGCGGGACAATTACACACATTTTAATGCCAGACACACAAGCATGGCTTTCCAAGTGATGTTGAGTGATCCTGAGTGGTCCAGTCTGCTTAAAAAACATACACAAATATTGCTTTTCTTTCACTTTGCCTTGTTTAAGGCAGCATAATGTGAAGACTAGGCACTGTACACTATACTCCTCACAGCCCATACTGCCTCAATGCTTTGCTCTGTCCCATTCATAGGTGAACAGATTGGGATGGCATCTCTGCAGCAGAAACTTAAGACCATTAAGGTCCCAGATCTTTCTGGAGAAAATTTAGTGTGACCATTGGCAAGGTCAAGTACAGCTTGACAGGGTAAGGGAACAAATCAAAAGTCTCCTTTTCAAATACATTGCAGTCAAATACATTGTCTGCATCTCTTGGTTGATAATCAACTGTGCTTACAAATGCTATAGTGCTCACAACACGCCCCTATCCTACCAACTATGTACTGTGTTCTATCCTCCAGAATGACGATAGTGAATCTGGGACTTCCCAAGTCTGCTTTGGTACTGGTGCCAGGTACTGGAGTCAGCCTGGCTATTACTAATGCCTTCCTCAGCCTGCACGGGAACTGGACGGTCCGATACCTCAGGTTCATGTGAGTGCATGAGTGTTCTTCTTCCCTGGTTCTAGGGAACCACTGGGTTGTGCAGGTTTTTGTTCCAGCACATGACTAGCACACTAGCCACTTAAAACACTGTACAATTTCCTCTTGGGTCTATCCATACTCCAAGGAGCTCAATCAACAGTTCTTACTTTCTGTGTGACATTATAGAAAAGACCGTGGCTCCTTAGACCTGGTGGTAAATGGACTCACCATCACTGCCAGTATTGCACCCAAGAGTGATAAGACTAGCAGGCCAACGGTCAGCAGTGTCAACTGTGTGGCCAACGTGGGCAGCGCCAGCATCAAGTTCCATGGTGGGGCCAGGTAACTGGAGTACATACACTACCGTTCAAAAGTTTGGGGTCACTTAGACATTTCCTTGATTTCCATGAAAACATACATGAAATAAGTTTGAATAGGAAATATAGCAAAATGAATAGGAAATGTAGTCATTGACAAGGTTAGAAATAATAATTTTTAATTGAAATAATAATTGTGTCCTTTGTTTTCGTCAAATAATCCTCAATTTGCAGCAATTACAGCCTTGCAGACCTTTGGCATTCTAGTTGTCAATTTGTTGAGGTAATCTGAAGAGATTTCACCCCATGCATCCTGAAGCACCTCCCACAAGTTGGATTGGCTTGATGGGCACTTCTTACGTACCATACGGTCAAGCTGCTCCCACAACAGCTCAATACGGTTGAGATCCGGTGACTGTGCTGCCCACTCCATTATAGACAGAATACCAGCTGACTGCTTCTTCCCTAAATAGTTATTGCATAGTTTGGAGCTGTGCTTTGGGTCATTGTCCTGTTGTAGGAGGAAATTGGCTCCAATCAAGCTCCGTCCACAGGGTATGGCATGGCATTGCAAAATGAAGTGATAGTCTTCCTTCTTCAAGATCCCTTTTACCCTGTACGAATCTCCCACTTTACTACCACCAAAGCACCCCAGACCATCACATTGCCTCCACCATGCTTGACAGATGGCATCAAGCACTCCTCCAGCATCTTTTCATTTGGTCTGCGTCTCACAAATGTTCTTCTTTGTGATCCGAACACCTCAAACTTCGATTAGTCTTCCACTCTGTCCAGTGTCTGTGTTCTTTTGCCCATCTTAATCTTTTCTTTTTATTGGCAAGTCTGAGATATGGCTTTTTCTTTGCAACTCTGCCTAGAAGGTCAGCATCCCGGAGTCGCCTCTTCATTGTTGATGTTGAGACTGGTGTTTTGCGGGTACTATTTAATGAAGCTGCCAGTTGAGGACCTGTGAGGCACCTGTTTCTCAAACTAGACACTCTAATGTATTTGTCCTCTTGCTCAGTTGTGCTCCGGGGCCTCCCACTCCTCTTTCTATTCTGTGAAGGGAGTAGTACACAGCATTGTACGAGATCTTCAGTTTCTTGGCAATTTCTCACATGGAATAGCCTTCATTTCTCAGAACAAGAATAGACTGATGAGTTTCAGAAGAAAGTTTTTTGTTTCTGGCCATTTTGAGCCTGTAATCGAACCCACAATTGCTGATGCTCCAGATACTCAACTAGTCTCAAGAAGGCCAGTTTTATTGCTTCTTTAATCAGCACAACAGTTTTCAGCTGTGCTAACATAATTGCAAAATGGTTTTCTAATGATCAATTAGCCTTTTAAAATGATAAACTTGATTTAGCAAACACAACGTGCCATTGGAACACAGGACTGAAGGTTGCTGATAATGGGCCTCTGTACGCCTATGTAGATATTCCATTAAAAATCAGCAGTTTCCAGCTACAATAGCCATTTACAACTGTATTTCTGATCAACTTTATGTTATTTGAATGGACCATTTTTAAAATTATATTTCGAAAACAAGGACATTTCTAAGTGACCCCAAACTTTTGAACGGTAGTGTACATGTATCTGTACTAAACAATATGGTGCACATAAAACTTTGTGAGAGCGCATGTTACCGATTTAGGAAGCATAATCAAAACACAATGTCATAAAATGATTGCAATGTGGATTAATTGTGTTACTTGTTTCCTCAAATGATTTGGTTCCTTTTCCAGCAGGCTGTACAATCTTTTCAAGTCCTACATTGACAAGGCCCTGCGCAGTACTCTGCAGAAACAGGTGAGGGACAGTGTAATGCCAGACTACAAACTCAACAGGTTAATCTTGTTCTGTTCTCTTGACAATAATAATCCCTCTGTTCATTATTACAGATCTGCCCGCTAGTGGCTGATGCTATTATTGACATGAACCCACAACAAAACGATCAACGGTAAAACAAGACTTACAGAACTTATAGTAATTAACATATGTGTTTATTATTGTGTTATTCATAGGCTACTAAATGGATCCTAAATATTTCATATTTTCTGCCATCTTGAAGTTCTAGCCAAAGAGGACAAAGATGCTGAAATTGAACATTCCGTTTTGAAATCATCCATTGACTTCAGTCTGAAGGTGAGAACTCCAGATTTCTGACTCCCAATCTATCCTCAATTCAGAGTTGGAGTCACTAGACCCACAACCTACAACACAAAACATAGAAACTAACACCCTGGCTCAACATACGAAAGTCCCCCGAGCCAGGGCGTGACAGTACCCCCCCCCTAAAGGCGCGGACTCCGACCGCGCCAACCAAACACAACAGGGGAGGGACCGGTTGGGCACTCCGCCTAGGCGGCGGATCCGGCTCCGGGCATGATCCCCACTCGCTCTCTAACCCCCCAAAGTACCCCTGGTCCGGTCTGGCCCTGCTGACCGGAGCTGGACTGCACACTGGTGGAGCGGATTGCTCTAGCTCCGGCGTGAAGCAGCTGACCCGTGCCGAACCAGGCACCAGTGGAACAGGCACGGGCTGTGCCGGACTGACGACGCACACCACTGGCTTGGTGTGGGGAGCAGGGACGGCCCGAGCCGGGCTGACGAAATGCACCCCTGACTTGGTGCGGGGAGCAGGAGCGGGCCAAACCGGGCTGACGAAGCGCACCACTGACTTGGTGCGGGGAGCAGGAACGGGCCGAGCCGGGCTGACGAAGCGCACCACTGACTTGGTGCGAGGAGCAGGAACGGGCCGAGCCGGGCTGACGAAGCGCACCACTGACTTGGTGCGGGGAGCAGGAACGGGCCGAGCCGGGCTGACGAAGCGCACCACTGACTTGGTGCGGGGAGCAGGAACGGGCCGAGCCGGGCTGACGAAGCGCACCACTGACTTGGTGCGGGGAGCAGGAACGGGCCGAGCCGGGCTGACGAAGCGCACCACTGACTTGGTGCGGGGAGCAGGAACGGGCCGAGCCGGGCTGACGAAGCGCACCACTGACTTGGTGCGGGGAGCAGGAACAGACCGGACCGTACTGGGGACACACACCACTGGCCCTACACCGGGATCTGGAACGGGCCGGACCGGACTGGTAACACACCCCAGTACCTCTCGCCGTGCCTCTCCACCTTCCATCCCCTCTTCGACCAGTGGCCCCCGTAACCTGGCGGCCTCCTCTGCCAATCCGCTGGACCGCTCTATCGCGGCCTCCTGCTGCCCCGACGTCGTGAGCCCCCCCCTAAAAAATTTCTGGGGGTCTCTCCTCCCCGTGGGCCAGGCCTCTATCGTTCTCGCCCAACTCTCGCTCTTCTGTCTCCAACTCCCGCTATTCAGCTCCTCAATGGGCTTGACCCAGTCGAAGCTCTTCCTCCATTGTTCCCAAGTCCACTCTCTCTGCTCTTCCCTCGGCTTGACCCAGTCGAGGCTGCCACGGAGATCTGCTAGGGATCTCCCTGGCGATGGCTCCTCGACTCGCTGCTTGGTCCAGTTGGGGTGGTTTCTTCTGTCACGATCGTCTAAGGAGGAGGACCAATGCGCAGCGTTGAAGGTGAACATATTTATTATATAAATGATCACACGATCAAAACAACAGACGATAACGTGATGTCTACGGTTGAACACAAACCAAATAAGAACAAGAAACCACAAAGAATGAAAGCCTAACGGCTACCTAAGTATGACTCCCAATCAGAGACAACGAGCTACAGCCGTCTCTGATTGGGAGCCACCCTGGCCAACATAGAAAAGCAAAACTAGACCCACAACCTACAACACAAAACATAGAAACTAACACCCTGGCTCAACATACGAAAGTCCCCCGAGCCAGGGCGTGACATGTTGTATTCGGCGCATGTGGCAAATACGATTTGATTTGATTTGTACTCCGAGCATGCGCTGACCAACTGGCAAGTGTCTTCACTGACATTTTCAACCTCTCCTTGTCTGAGTCTGTAATACCAACATGTTTCAAGCAGACCACCATAGTCCCTGTGCCCAAGAACACTAAGGTAACCTGCCTAAATGACTACCGACCCGTAGCACTCACGTCTGTAGCCATGAAGTGCTTTGAAAGGCTGGTCATGGCTCACATCAACAACATTATCCCAGAAACCCTAGACCCACCCTAATTTGCATACCGGCCCAACAGATCCACAGATGATGCAATCTCTATTGCACTCCACACTGCCCTTTCACACCTGGACAAAAGGAACACCTATGTGAGAATGCTATTCATTGACTGCAGCTCAGCGTTCAACACCATAGTGCCCTCAAAGCTCATCACTAAGCTAAGGACCCTGGGACTAAACACCTCCCTCTGCAACTGGATCCTGGACTTCCTGACGGGCCGCCCCCAGGAGGTAAGGGTAGGTAACATCACATCCACCACGCTGATCCTCAACACGGGGGCCCCTCAGGGGTGCGTGCTCAGTCCCCTCCTGTACTCCCTGTTCACTCATGCCAGGCACGACTCCAACACCATCATTAAGTTTGCAGATGACACAACAGTGGTAGGCCTGGTCACCGATAACGATGAGACAGCCTATAGGGAGGAGGTCAGAGACCTGGCCGTGTGGTGCCAGGACAATAACCTCTCCCTCAACGTGATCAAGACAAAGGAGATGATTGTGGACTACAGGAAAAAGAAGAGGACCGAGCACACCCCCATTCTCATCGACGGGGCTGTAGTGGAGCAGGTTGAGAGCTTCAAGTTCCTTGGTGTCCACATCACCAACAAACTAACATGGTCCTAGCACACCAAGACAGTCGTGAAGAGGGCACGACAGCTGCACCATCGAGAGCATCCTGACTGTTTGCATCACTGCCTGGTATGGCAACTGCTCGGCCTCAGACCGCAAGGCACTACAGAGGGTAGTGCGTACGGCCAAGCTTCCTGCCATCCAGGACCTCTATACCAGGCGGTGTCAGAGGAAGGCCCTAAAAAGACTCCAGCCACCCTAGTCATAGATGGTTCTCGCTGCTACCGCACGGCAAGCGGTACCGGAGCGTCAAGTCTAGGTCCGAGAGGCTTCTAAACAGCTTCTACGCCCAAGCCATAAGACTCCTAAACATCTAATCAAATGGCTACCCAGACTATTTGCATTCCCCCCCCCATTTTACGCTGCTGCTACTCTCTGTTTATTATCTATGCATAGTCACTTTAATAACTCTACCTACATGTACATATTACCTCAATTACCTTGACTAACCGGTGCCCCCGCACATTGACTCTGTACCAGTACCCCCTGTATATAGCCTCGCTATTGTTATTTTACTGCTGCTCTTTAATTATTTGTTACTTCTATATTATAATTTTTGGGGTATTCTTTCTTAAAACTGCATTGTTGGTTAAGGGCTTGTAAGTAAGCATTTCACTGTAAGGCTGTATTTGGTGCATGTGACAAATAGAATTTGATTTGATATGATTTTAAAAAATTGTGAATGAATAAGCCTTTTCATACTCTATAATACAGTATGTCCATATATAGTTATAGTCTGTTTTAGGAACATCTACTCAAAATATTTCACCTTTATTACTTTACCAAACATATCATGACATTAGTGATAGTCAAAATCTGTTACATTTGTGAATGTCTAAATCAACATTTGGGCCATTTAAACAGCGTGTGTCCCTCCTATAGACAAGAGGTGAAGGGCTATGTAAAGGGATCGATTTTGTCGTTCTGAGCATATGCAATGTGTCTGCCTCCGATGTAATACAAATGTTTGACTTCCACACAAAATTTATGATTGACTTATTTTAGGTTTAAGGAAGTGTATAGGTCACTTTCTTTATCGTAGAGCTATGAACTTTATTTATTTAGATCCGCCTGCTCGAGACAAATTCGGCGATTGCTTTGCCATGGCTGTGCCCTGAAGCAGTCGAGCTGGATAAATGTTTTTCTAAGGACCGCCCCTTTGATGTAACGTTGCAGTGAAGTGATATAAATGGATGTAATGATGCTAATATAAGTTTATTCCACAGAGGACGTTTACATGGTCCTACTGTAGCAAGGTCTGGATGGCTGCCTTCTGACAGTGGGATATCATTAAAATAAGTAACGTAAACATATACATATTTTTTAAATTAATTATAGTACCCGATTTCGGGGACTGTCAGTTTAAGACTGAACACTGAATCTAAACAGTGAAATTGTATCAAACAAGTTGGACTTGACAACTTCTTACTGATGGATCTGAGAGTGGCTGTGATACCAAAGGTCAATGGTGAATGCTTTGTTTCACTGTACATTATACATTATTTACATTCTATAAACATTGCACTGATTGGCCACTGGAAAACCATGCATTTGTATCTTATAGGTCGCCTAGAGAAGGGTTTTCCTCTTCCCTCTATTGGAAAGATGAACCTTGTCAACACTCAGCTGCAGGTCCTGAAGGTAACGTCAGATATCTAAGAGATCATTGCTTTCTACATCTCTTCTCACATCTCTTCTCACATCCAATATCTCTTATACTGTAGCCAGTGTGTGTCCATGTCCTATATTTGACAAACTACTGTTGCTTTTCTGTCTCCAGGACTACATGCTGATTGGGACAGACGTTCAGTTCACAGGATAAGTGCCATGTAAATCAGAATGCAAGTCATCATTAATCGATTGTCATACGTCAAATCAAATCAAATCAAACCAATGAGACATGTAATTAAGGTTCGCAAATCAAATCTATTACACTGTACATGTATACTCTCAAACAATAAACCACATTCTGAAATGCTTAAATACTGTATCTTCCAATCTTTTCGGTTTTCCACTTCTATTCAATTATGTAATTTATAATTAATACATTTGTATAAATAAACAAACATCATTAAAGCTTTTTTTCATTTGACAACTGTCTTCAAGTGCTTTGAATGGTTTGTTTCTTATAAGTGACTACTAATGCCCTTATAAGCACCTAGCCATTTAAATAAACAATACATCATAGCAAAGCTTGACATGATATGTGTTCATACATACAGTATAATTGAAGGAGAGATAAGTCTTGCTGTGATATAAAATATAAAATGTTGTCGTATGGCAGAATGAGAGGGTACCTTGACCGGACATATGCCTTGTCAAAGCAACTGGAAACTCGGAAATCTCAGACTTCAGTGCGTTGAAGACAACTGGGAACTCGGAAAAAAACTAGCTCCTACTGGTAAAATTGATTTGAGCGGTCATCCAAGTCGGAATTCCAAGTCGGAAACTCTGGCATCTTTGTAGAAATCCAACTTTCCATCCTAAAGATCACTGATGTCATGATTTGACCTTGTTTTTTCCCCGAGTTTCCAGTTGTCTTGAAAGCACCAATGGTTGATGGGGGCTGTGTGTGTGTGTGTGTGTGTGTGTGTGTGTGTGTGTGTGTGTGTGTGTGTGTGTGTGTGTGTGTGTGTGTGTGTGTGGGCTGACCAGCCACTTCCTGTCGAGGTAAGATCATCTTTCACATTTCCATCGTTCCACCCACACAGGTCCTGGGCTGATCTCTAGGGTGTTTTCACATATACAGTTGAAGTCCGAAGTTTACCTACACCTTAGCCAAATACATTTAAACTCAGTTTTTCACAATTCCTGACATTTAATCCTAGTAAAAATTCCCTGTTTTAGGTCAGTTAGGATCACCACTTTATTTTAAGAATGTGAAATGTCAAAATAATAGTAGAGAGCTTTTATTTCTTTCATCACATTCCCAGTGGGTCAGAAGTTTACATACACTAAATTAGTGTTAGCATTTCGGGTAGCCTTCCACAAGCTTCCCACAATAAGTTGGGTGAATTTTGGCCCATTCCTCCTGACAGAGCTGGTGTAACTGAGTCAGCTTTGTAGGCCTCCTTGCTCGCACACGCTTTTTCAGTTCTGCCCACACATTTTCTATAGGATTGAGGTCAGGGCTTTGTGATGGCCACTCCAATACCTTGACTTTGTTGCCCTTAAGCCATTTTGCCACAACTTTGGAAGGATGCTTGGGGTCATTGTCCATTTGGAAGACCCAATTGCGACCAAGCTTTAACTTCCTGACTGATGTCTTGAGATGTTACTTCAATATATCCACATCATTTTCCTTCCTCATGATGCCATCTATTTTCTGAAGTGCACCAGTCCCTCCTGCAGCAAAGCACCCCCACAACATGATGCTGCCACCCCCGTGCTTCACGGTTGGGATGGTGTTCTTTGGCTTGCAAGCCTTCCCCTTTTTCCTCCAAACATAACGATGGTCATTATGGCCAAACAGTTCTATTTTTGTTTCATCAGACCAGAGGACATTTCTCCAAAAAGTAAGATATTTGTTCCCATGTGCAGTCGCAAACCATAGTCTGGCTTTTTAATGGCGGTTTTGGAGCCGTGGCTTCTTCCTTGCTGAGTAGCCTTTCAGGTTATGTCGATATAGGACTCATTTTACTGTGTATATAGATACTTTTGTACCTGTTTCCTCCAGCATCTCCACAAGGTCCTTTGCTGTTGTTCTGGGATTGATTTTCACTTTTCGCACCAAAGTACGTTAATCTCTAGGAGACAGAACGTGTCTCCTTCCTGAGCGGTATGACGGCTGCGTGGTCCCATGGTGTTTATACTTGCGTACTATTGTTTGTACAGATGAACACGGTACCTTCAGGCGCTTGGAAATTGCTCCCAAGGATGAACCAGACTTGTGGAGGTCTACACATTTTATTCTGAGGTCTTGGCTGATTTCTTTTGATTTTCCCATGATGTCAAGCAAAGAGGCACTGAGTTTGAAGGTAGGCCTTGAAATACATCCACAGGTACACCTCCAATTGACTCAAATTATGTCAATTAGCCTATCAGAAGCTTCTAAAGCCATGACATCATATTCTGGAATTTTCCAAGCTGTTTAAAGGCACAGTCAACTTAGTGTATGTAAACTTCTGACCCACTGGAATTGTGATACAGTGAATTATAAGTGAAATAATCTGTCTGTAAACAATTGAAAAATTACTTGTGTCATGCACAAAGTAGATATCCTAACCGACTTGCCAAAACTATAGTTTGTTAACAAGAAATTTGTGGTTGAAAAACGAGTTTTGGAAAAACGAGTGGTTGAAAAACGAGTTTTAATGACTCCAACCTAAGTGTCTATAAACTTCTGACTTCAACTGTAGTCCTCCAAAAGAACCGATCTCAGTCCTCTTTAAAGTGAACTCTATTCACACTGCCTTTGCCTTTAAATAAGGACTCAGCTCCATTGCCAGTTCACTTCAACTGTTTTGTGGTCCGAATCCTCTTTGTATTCACATTGATTGCTATGTTTAGAAAGGAATCAATATCTTTTCCCAACGTTCACTCAATGCATTCTAGGTAATTAAACACATTTCATCAGAACCTGTTATCGGACAGCTAAGAATATACCTACTTACGTTTTGGAAGCTAATAGATTGCATTTAGTTAAAAGATAAGACATAATTATAATGAAAAGATAACATTTACTTGTAAATATTATTAGTAACATGATAAATAGCAGAAGAATAACTGCAGATTAAATATTGCTGTAATTGAACATTGTACACCCAATATAGACTACTGCCCCTTTAAGAACTAACATTGATTTTGTACCCTATGTTGTGATTCTCACCAAATGTATTCTTCTCACATTATTCAAATATCTGACTACAGGGAGTTGAGACCATCTGCACAATCACATTACAGGCCTGACAAGCCGTTTGAAAGTGTCCTGTTTCCTGAGTGCAATGCCCTTGGTTTCCCCTTTCTCAATTTACCTTTCTACTGATTTACTTTGTCATTGTGAGGCAATGCAGTGAAAGTTATGTAGACACAGTGGTGGAAAAAGTACCCAATTGTCATACTTTAGTAAAAGTATAAATACCTTAATAGAAATTTACTCACGTAAAAGTGAAAGTCACCCAGTAAATACTAAATAAAGTCTAAAAGTATTTGGTTCTAAATATACTTAAGTATCCAAAAGTAAATGTAATTACTAAAATATACTTAAGTATCAAAAGTAAAAGTATAAATCATTTCAAATTCCTTATATTAAGCAAAGCAGACGGCACCATTTTCTTGTTTTAAAAATTTACGGATAACCAGGGGTACACTGCAACACTCAGACATAATTTACAAACGATGCATTTGTGTTTAGAGAGTCTGCCAGATCAGAGGCAGTAGGGATGACCAGGTATTCTCTTGATAAGTGAATGAATTGGACCATTTTCCTGTCCTGCTAAGCATTCAACATGTAATGGGTACTTTTTGGTGTCAGGGAAAATGTATGGAGTAAAAAGTACATTATTTTCATTATGAATGTAGTGAAGTAAAAGTAAAAGTTGTCAAAAACATAAATAGTGAAGTAAAGTACAGATACCCAAAAAAAACTACTTAAGTAGTACTTTAAAGTATTTGTACTTAAGTACTTGACACCACTGTGTAGACATTAGATTATCAAACAGTCATCATGATGTTTGCTCAGTATGATGTTTACATCCAATTAAAGCCTGATAATATGAAATAATCTCTTACAGTACATATTGTTACCATTGTCAACAAGACCCCCAATCATTAAATGTGCTTATGTACCTGTTGGGCAAATCAGTGACGTAACAAGAAAGTCAAGATCAATATTCACAAATCACTCTTTCTATTATCTACAGTGAGGGAAAAAAGTATTTGATCCCCTGCTGATTTTGTACGTTTGCCCACTGACAAAGAAATGATCAGTCTATAATTTTAATGGTAGGTTTATTTGAACAGTGAGAGACAGAATAACAACAACAAAATCCAGAAAAACGCATGTCAAGAATGTTATAAATTGATTTGCATTTTAATGAGGGAAATAAGTATTTGACCCCCTCTCAATCAGAAAGATTTCTGGCTCCCAGGTGTCTTTTATACAGGTAACGAGCTGAGATTAGAAGCACACTCTTAAAGGGAGTGCTCCTAATCTCAGTTTGTTACCTGTATAAAAGACACCTGTCCACAGAAGCAATCAATCAATCAGATTCCAAACTCTCCACCATGGCCAAGACCAAAGAGCTCTCCAAGGATGTCAGGGACAAGATTGTAGACCTACACACGGCTGGAATGGGCTACAAGACCATCGCCAAGCAGCTTGGTGAGAAGGTGACAACAGTTGGTGCGATTATTCACAAATGGAAGAAACACAAAAGAACTGTCAATCTCCCTCGGCCTGGGGTTCCATGCAAGATCTCACCTCGTGGAGTTGCAATGATCATGAGAACGGTGAGGAATCAGCCCAGAACTACACGGGAGGATCTTGTCAATGATCTCATGGCAGCTGGGACCATAGTCACCAAGAAAACAATTGGTAACACACTACGCCGTGAAGGACTGAAATCCTGCAGTGCCCGCAAGGTCCCCCTGCTCAAGAAAGCACATATACAGGGCCGTCTGAAGTTTGCCAATGAACATCTGAATGATTCAGAGGAGAACTGGGTGAAAATGTTGTGGTCAGTTGAGACCAAAATTGAGCTCTTTGGCATCAACTCAACTCGCCGTGTTTGGAGGAGGAGGAATGCTGCCTATGACCCCAAGAACACCATCCCCACCGTCAAACATGGAGGTGGAAACATTATGCTTTAGGGGTGTTTTTCTGCTAAGGGGACAGGACAACTTCACCGCTTCAAAGGGACGATGGATGGGGCCATGTACCGTCAAATCTTGGGTGAGAACCTCCTTCCCTCAGCCAGGGCATTGAAAATGGGTTGTGGATGGGTATTCCAGCATGTCAATGACCCAAAACACATGGCCAAGGCAACAAAGGAGTGGCTCAAGAAGAAGCACATTAAGGTCCTGGAGTGGCCTAGCCAGCCTCCAGACCTTAATCCCATAGAAAATCTGTGGAGGGAGCTGAAGGTTCGAGTTGCCAAACGTCAGCCTCGAAACCTTAATGACTTGGAGAAGATCTGCAAAGAGGAGTGGAACAAAATCCCTCCTGAGATGTGTGCAAACCTGGTGGCCAACTACAAGAAACGTCTGACCTCTGTGATTGCCAACAAGGGTTTTGCCACCAAGTCATGTTTTGCAGAGGGGTCAAATACTTATTTCCCTCATTAAAATGCAAATCAATTTATAACATGCGTTTCTCTGGATTTTTTTGTTGTTATTCTGTCTCTCACTGTTCAAATAAACCTACCATTAAAATTATAGACTGATCATGTCTTTGTCAGTGGGAAAACGTACAAAATCAGCAGGGGATCAAATACTTTTTTCCCTCACTGTATTAGGCTAAAGCATAGTACATAGGCCTAAGAGTTATATTGTTTCACAAGTTGTACTCTGGACCCCAGAGATGGAATTGATGCGAAGGTTGGCTTAAATGATCGGCAGATATTGTGTTAGACAGCCATTTACTGGGATTTCTTTTGCATTGCATTTTAACCCAAATGAATAATTTGAAATGTCATAACCATTAATTGATGGCAAAATAAGCTATTTTTCCATCCTGAAAATATAAAAGTTCCACAAGCCAGTTTTGGTTTCTTGGTTGGATATTCATTATCACAATCGAAAGCTTAGGTTATTGCAAACAAGTTTCGCTTCAAGAAGCCAGACCAAATTAATTATTATGTTCTTGATAAGAGCCCATGACCGAATTATACACTCTACAAGACATTCCTTTATTACCACATGATCTGGGTTGGATTTGTATCAAATTGTTCAAACCATGTGTATCTGAGTGCGCAGTGGAAGGCATGCATCGCATTGTGCTAACTTGCACTAAGATCCTGTTCTACAGTGCTCTGTCGCACCCGGCCGACCGGGAACTAATTGGCGGGCACATTGCCCGCGTCGCCCGGGTGGGAGGGAATGGCAGCAGGATGTATAGTTAAGAGATGGCTTGCACGCCAGGGTTGTGGTCAATCCCACGGGGGGCAGTATAAAAAAAAAAACATATATATTAAAGTAGTATCACTACTGTAAGTCGTCTGGATAGAGGTCTGCTAAATACAAAATGTAAAATGTAATGGACCTATTCTCATTGGACTCATAACATTCATGTTTACTTCTCTTACGTATATCCGAACAAATCATTCTCTGAAAGGTTGAATGAAGGTCTAAAATTGGATTACTAGATTGTTCTTCTTTGCACAATGTTTTCTCCATGCTCTCTGCGTTATTTACAGAATGGGTAGTCAAGTATCAGTCAGCCCATTTCTCAAGCAGCTTTTCCTGGTTCAGAGAAGTGAATCAAAGGCCATGTGATTCTCTTCTCCTTTCACTCTGCCCTGCCGCTTGCCAGGGAGCGACAACAACAGAAGAAATCCTTCACCACTTTCTTATCAGTGCATAAGGTAGGTAACTACAGAGTCGTGCATGTGTAATTATGCTTTTTTCTAATTCAATCTGTATCTCATATGTAATGAATGGTACTGCATACAAAATAGACTGGCCTGTTTCTCTCTGTCAAACCTAAAACTGATTCCAATGGGGTAGCCATCAACAAACAGCCAACTCTCTATAGATACAGACAGTGGTGTAAAGTACTTAAGTAAAATAATAAAGTAAATTATTTATACTTTTACTTTTTATACTTAAGTATATTTAAAACCAAATACTTTTAGACTTTTACTTAAGTAGTATTTTACTGGGTGACTTTCACTTTTACTTGAGTCATTTTCTATTAAAGTATCTATACTTTTACTCAAGTATGACAATTGGGTACTTTTTCTATCACTGGATACAGAGTTCCTTGACAAACACACCAGTCAAATGTCTGTGATTTAGCAGGTCATCTCTGTCTACTTTCTTCTCCTTGCCTCTGTTCATTTCAGGCAAACATAGTTCAAAATAGGCCCAGCTCACCCGCTAACTCCTCACTGGTCATGTGGATTTATCTGCAACTCTGACAGACAAGCACTTAGTACTTTCAGAGGCCACAAGTGAATCAAGTCTGGATTGTTCCATTTGGGTTTCTTCTCCATCCCCCAGGGCTCCAATCAGGACCTGTAAGGCCACGGTGGTGGCTGATTACATTGTCTGATTGTCTCTCGTCGAGAATCAATTACCAGACAACAGAAAGATGTTACCACTCCCACAGTGTTGATCACGGGGATTAAGGATTAGCATTTGTTGGTCTGGTAAAAATTGGTGTTTATAGAATCTATTATGATTATCAGATAATGATGCTAGCAGTTCAGGTGCGTTCCGTTTTTTGGCTTTCTCACTGGCGAGCCCAAGAAGGTGCCACTCCCTCCGTAAAATGATTTAAAATATGGGACTTTGTGTCACAAAGTGTTGATGGTATCAGGGAAGCTGTGTGCAACAAACCAGGAAGTATTTGTCCATTCTAGAAATTCCCCTGATCAGTTATAAGATTGTGGCAAAACATGGTTTCATTATTGGTCAAAAGAAATCAAGTCAGACGTAGGTCAATATTAGTGTTGAGACTACAGTGCACATGTGTCTAGAGTGAAAATCAGTACCGTTCAATACAGTGGAAAATAAGGCTTTACACAAGAAACTGTTCAACCTTAATGTTCCTCCCATGAAAACGGAAGCCCAAAAGTCATAAGATATGGATGTTCCCAATTATATTCATTGGACAATAAACAACACCTGTATTGTAATGTAGATATATTATTGTTTGTTCATCTTCCCTACAGGTGACTGCAGTCAAGATGTCTCCATGCTATTGGCTGGCACTGTTGGCTCTAGTCCCCTTAACTCTGGCTGCCAACCCTGGAGTCAAGGTCAAACTCACAGACAAGGGCATTGAATATGGTATGTTTGAGGCATGGGCAATAATATTGCATGGTTTTAGATCAAGATGAGGCTATGTATTGTGATCATGTGGCAGAGGTACAGTAAATATACTATACTCCTCACAGCCCATTCTGCCTCAATGCCTTGCTCTGTCCTGTCCACAGGTAAACAGATTGGGATAGCATCTCTGCAGCAGAAACTTAAGACCATTAAGGTCCCAGATCTCTCTGGAACAGTGAAAGTGCCTCCCATTGGGAAGGTCAAGTACAGTTTGACAGGGTAAGGGATTAAATCCAATATATTTTCCCCAAAAAATATATTGCAGTCAAACACATTGTCAATTGTCTGCATATCTGATGTAAGCATTTGTTGATAATCAACTGTGCTTACAAAGGCTGTAGTGTTCACAACACGCCTCTATCCTACCAACTATGTACTGTGATCTATCCTCCAGAATGACAATAGTGAATCTGGAACTTCCCAAGTCTGCTTTGGTACTGGTGCCAGGTACTGGAGTCAGCCTGGCTATTACTAATGCCTTCATCAACCTGCACGGGAACTGGAAGGTCCGATACTTCAAGTTCATGTAAGTGCATGAGGGATGGTCTGAACACCCTCAATTTTGATCCTGGGGACCAACTGGATTGTACAGGCTTTTTTTCCAAGCAAGCTGTAACAAAAAAACTGCACACCCAGTACATCCCCAGGACCAGGATTGAACAACACTAAAACACTGCACAATTTTCTCTTGGGTCTGTCTGTCTATACCCCAAAGGACTCAAACAACATTATTTTCTCGTTAACGATCAAGAACAGACAGTGGCTCCTTCGACCTGGCAGTAAATGGACTCACCATCACTGCCAGTATTGCAATCAAGAGTGATGAAACTGGCAGGCCAACGGTCAGCAGTGTCAACTGTGTGGCCAACATTGGCAGAGCCAGCATCAAGTTCCATGGTGGGGCCAGGTAACTGGAGTATATAGCGGCACTTAACACTATGGTGTACTAAAAACTTTGTGAGAACGCATGTTACTGATTTAGGAATCATCAAACCACAATGTCAAAAAATTGTTGCAATGTGGATTTACTTGTTTCCTCAAATACTTTGGTTCCTGTTTTCCAGTTGGCTTTACAATCTTTTCAAGTCCTACATTGACAAGGCCCTGCGCAGTACTCTGCAGAAACAGGTGAGGGACAGTGTAATGCCAGACTACAAACTAAACAGGTTAATCTTGTTCTGTTCTCTTGACAATAATAATCCCTCTGTTCATTATTACAGATCTGCCCCCTAGTGGCTGATGCTATTACTGACATGAACCCACACCTCAAAACTCTCAATGGTAAAACAAGACTTGAAGGCCAAATGTAGCCAGTTTTATATCAAATAATTTCTGGGTAACAATGAAGTACATTACTGTAATAGATTTCCATTAAAATGAACAAAAATAGCTTTTTTGCAAAACAATTATTTCTCAAGCAAGAATTTTGCTAGGACTATCTGGGAGTGGTCTGAGGTTTGTTATTGGTCTATTAACCAATTTACCACATGGTGATGTCACCATGGAAAGCCGAAACTCCTGCCCATGTGTAAACCTGATGATTAGAAGGTCCTGTGTATTTTCAACCAGCAACTATAAGGAAATAACACTGATACATTTTCTTCATACTTTTACAGTGTTAGTTTCATCAGCTGTTGTACAATATGATACAAAACATAATTTTGACTGCACTGGGCCTTTAAGCACTTATCCTCATGAACATATTTGTATATTACAGTGTTATTCATAGGCTACTAAATGGATCCTACATATTTATTTTCTGCCATCTTGAAGTTCTAGCCAAAGTGGACCAGTATGCTGAAATTGAATATTCCATGGTGTCATCACCCACCATTTCAAAGTCCTCCATTGACTTCAGCTTGAAGGTAAAAACTGCAGACTCCTAATCTACCTTTCAACGCTACAAACATATGGGCTCAGTAAGGCAAGATGTCAATTCTCCCTCTCTCTCTCTGTCTCCCTCTCTCTGTCTCCCTCTCTGTCTCCCTCTGTCTCCCTCCCTCCCTCTGTCTGTCTGTCTGTCTGTCTGTCTGTCTGTCTGTCTGTCTGTCTGTCTGTCTGTCTGTCTGTCTGTCTGTCTGTCTGTCTGTCTGTCTGTCTGTCTGTGTCTCTCTCTCTCTCTCTCTCTCTCTCTCTCTCTCTCTCTCTCTCTCTCTCTCTCTCTCTCTCTCTCTCTCTCTCTCTCTCTGTGTCCATCTTTGTCCGTCCGTCTCTCTCTGCAGGGTGAGTTCTACAACATTGGGAAGCACCAGGAGCCTCCGTTCTCCCCCACGCCCTTCTCCCTGCCTCAGGAAAACAACATGCTCTACATCGGGGTCTCTGCCTTCACCCCCAACTCCGCAGGCTTCGTGTACAACAATGCTGGAGCACTCAGCCTATATGTCACAGATGATATGGTGAGTCTGAATCTGATTCCCATCTACAGGGAGTAAGGTTTAACATAGTCCCATCTGTTTCAGGGGTGAGGTTAAACATAACTGTTTCCCCCTGACAGATCCCTCCTAGCTCTCCCATCCGACTGAACACCGGAACATTTGGAGTCTTCATTCCAGAGGTGATACACCAGACCCCACTATCACCATTCTACCTCCATATGATATGACTTCATTTATTTAGAATAAAAAATCTATTAAATATTGATCATTAAAAGAGTTTGTCTTTAGTGTCCATCCAGAGATGAAAATGTGCGTTTTGTTCAAACACATTTACTCTGTGTTCAGGATACAGTTAACATTCTTCTCAGGCTTAAAGAGAGATTATGTGTGTTGTTTCAGATAGCGAAGCGTTTCCCTGGAATGATGATGAAGCTGCTGGTGAAGACGGTGAAGGAGCCCACCATCTCCCTTGAGCCCAACAACATGACAGTCCAGGCCAGCGGCACAGTGACGGCCTACGCCATCCAGCCCAACACCACCCTCTCTCCCCTCTTTGTCCTCAACATGGTCAGTCAGTCTGTCAGTCACTCAGGAAGTAGAATACTGTAGCTTAGACTTTGAGAGTGATAATTAACTCTACAAGCTCTCTTTATCTCTACAGGAGGGTAGTGTCAGTGCTCGACTGAACGTGACTGGGGTGAAGCTGGCTGGGGCTGTCACTCTGAACAAGTGAGTATAATTGGTGCAAAAGGGGAACAAAAGCCCTTCAAAAACTGACCAAAGTAGACTGACATTAATACTGTCTGCTTTTCACAGAATTGAGATGACTCTGGGAACTAGTTATGTGGGACAGTTTCAGGTAAGAATTATATTTTCAGAGCTTATAACATACATATAACTTGCTTTTTAAACACTGAAACACTGAACCTAAACAATGAAATGATATCAAACAGGTTCAATCTCTTGACAACATCTTCCTGATGGTTCTGAAAGTGGTTGTGATACCTAAGGTCAATGGTGAGTGCTTTATTTCCTTGTTTATTTATATTAATTGTTTCTGCACTGATTGGCCACTGGAAAACCATGCATTTGTATCTTATAGGTCGCCTAGAGAAGGGTTTTCCTCTTCCCTCTATTGGAAAGATGAACCTTGTCAACACTCAGCTGCAGGTCCTGAAGGTAACGTCAGATATCTAAGAGATCATTGCTTTCTACATCTCTTCTCACATCTCTTCTCACATCCAATATCTCTTATACTGTAGCCAGTGTGTGTCCATGTCCTATATTTGACAAACTAGTGTTGCTTTTCTGTCTCCAGGACTACATGCTGATTGGGACAGACGTTCAGTTCACAGGATAAGTGCCATGTAAAGTCATCATTAATCGATGATTGATCATAAATAAAATCAGAAATAAAATCAAACCAATGAGACATGTAATTAATGTTCGCAAATCAAATATTTTATACTGTACATATATACTCTCAAACAGTACACCACATTCTGAAATGCTTAAATACTATATCTTCCAATCTTTTCAGTATTCCACTTCTATTCAATTATGTAATTTATAATGAATAAATTTGTATAAATAAACAAATATCAGTAAAGCTTTTTTTAAATTCAACAACAGTCTTATTCAGTCTTCAGTCTGTGCCTCTGGTTTGAGGTAACATCTTTGTCCATCAACTGCTGGCTTTATAACAAGCTATGCCCACAAAAGCCTGCATAGCACTGCTCAGCTCGGTACCGTGGTGCCACAAAGGACGTCCACTCCACACTCACCTTCAGGGTGGGTCAGACTGAAGCCAGTTGTCCGTCATGGCGGTGGTCAGGTAGACGTGCAGCTGTGTCACTCAGAGAGGTGTGGCTGAGGGCGTGGCCTCTCAGGCTCTGGGAGTTGGCTGATGTTATCTGTATTAGAGACAGGAACAGAGCAGAGCAGGTCTAAACATGGTGCCCCGATGAAGGTAGTCTTATAATCCCTATAAAATCACCCATAAGACATTATAAGCACCTGAAATGGTCATAAAATGAAACATTTGAATGTGTACTTTCAAACAGTATAATTGAGAGAGAGTGAGAGAGAAGTTTTATTGTCTATGATACAACTATGCCAGAATGAGAGTGTACCTTGACTAGGACGTAATCTCCATGGTTGATGGGGGCAGTGTGTGTGTCAGTCTGTGTGTCAGTGGTTGTGTCTGGCTGAACGGCCACTTCCTCTCGAGGGAAGATCACATTTCCATCGTTCCTCCCATACAGGTCCTTGGCTGATCTCTTACTCTCCTGAGTGGATGAGGAAACAAGTTCCCAAAATGTTAGGGTACATTTATATTGGAGTTAAGTGGGATGAATACGTACCATTGCTTATATGTGAATTATAGTTCAGAGCGTCCTTTTTACCTGACTCCCCCGGTGAATCTTGAATCCTTGTTGGCTGCTATCATGCTACTTTGCACGCCATGGGGAGAGATGATTGGTCCAGTCTAAATTGCTAGTCAGCCCATGCAGGGAAAAGTCAGGTGTGGGGAGTTGGGGCTCACAGCTCGACTCGTGTGGATTTAAATTTAGCCTTAGAGCTCCCTCCACTAGGACGAGCTGTGTACTGCCGATGAGGGCAGCGTTGACCTTGGTGGCCTCCTCTCTGAACACACTGATGAGCTCCTCTAGCCGCCGCTGCTTCACCTCAGCTGGCACGTCGTCCTGGAGACGATGGAACGCATTGTTTTTTTCCGGGAGAGAGGACACTGCATATTAATAAGTGTAGTGTCCACAGTAGATATGGCAGTAACACAATACATTACTTTTACATTTACATTTTAGTCTTATCCAGAGCGACTTACACTTAGTGCATTCACCTTAAGATAGCTAGGTGGGACAACCACATATCACAGTCATAGTAAATACACTTTTCCTCAATAAAGTAGTTATAAACAAAGTCAGAGCTTTTGGTTTACTCTTGAAAATACTGCCTAATTTAGTGGGGCTTGGATTCCGTAACACAAACTCTATAGGCCTGAGAAAGGAAAGGGTTGAGAACCCCTGCTATATTCCAATGGTATTGATAGGAAATGTGGGATCATTTCCAGTCTGTGAATTAAGTTGAACACACCTTCCTCATGCTGTAGGGGAAGAGGAAGCCCACGTTGTATCACACCTCCCTGATCAGAGACAGGTTCTGCAGCTGGTCCTCCTCTGTCTCCCCACAGAACCCTGAGACGAAGTCACTTCTCAGGCTCACCCCTGACACACACACACACAGGATTGAACCATCACTGATCCACTGCCACTGGCAATAAGACACAGTCAGTCCTTTCAAACGTACATTACATAACATGCTGTTAGCATGCAGCCAATCTGCATAGCAGAACCAGTCTGCAGCTGTTAACTTTATTGTTGGTCACAGAAACATAAAAAAAAAAACACAAAATACAAAAGTGGGCATGGATCAGAAAACCAGTCAGTATCTGGTGTGAACATCATTTGCCTCATGCAGAGCAACACATCTCATTTGCATAGAGTTGATCAGGCTGTTCATTGTGGCCTGTGGAATGCTGTTCCACTCCTCTTCAATGGCTGTGTGAAGTTGCTGGATATTGCGGGAACAGGAACACACTGGTTACACATCGATCCAGAGCATCCCAAACATGCTCAATGGGTGACATGTCTGGTGAATATGCAGGCCATGGAAGAACTAGGAAATGTTCAGCTTCCAGGAATTTGTACAGATCCTTGCGACATGGGGACGTGCATTGTCATACTGAAACATGAGGAGATGGCGGCGGATGAATGGCATGACAATGGGCCTCAGGATCTCATCACGGTATCTCTGTGCATTCAAATTGCTATCAATAAAATGCAATTGTGTTCGTTGTCCGTAGCTTATGCCTGCCCATACCATAATGCCACCATCACCATGGGGCACTATGTTCACAACGTTGACATCAGCAAACCGCTAACCCACACGGCGTCATACATGTGGTCTGCGGTTGTGAGGCTGGCTGGTGCAAAACAATTGAGAGACATAAGCTTTTTGTGCATATGGAACATTTCTGGGATCTTTTATTTCAGCTCATGAAACATGGGACCAACACTTTACATGTTGTGTTTATATTTTTGTTCAGTGTATATTAGAAGAATCATTGATGTGAGAGTAGTACACAAACCTGTTCTTGAATTCCCAATTTCTGAGTCCTCAGGAAGATAGGCATGCTTGTCAGCATTTATCAAATCATCAGTGATGACAGCTTGTTTGTTGATAGAGGATCCCTTGACAAAGTCATGAAATGTTGGACCTGTGGCTATTTGAGTCTTTAATTTATCTACCCTGCTTGCCTCAGAATGAATGCTGCCTAGCTTTGAACAACACAACCTGTGTTGTTGCAAGCTCCTTCTAGGTTACCATTCTTGTAAAGTAAGAAAGAGAGGTAGTAAGTGGTCAGTGTTTGTCATGTCAATACATCTATATAGTCAATTACTGTGACATTTTGCAATGGATGAAAATTAGAAAACAATGTTGAACAAAGCTAGCCAGCTAGAGGCTTGACATCACATCATTATCATAAAACGAGCCCTGAGAATTTACTCAGCAGGTAGCTACTGCTGCTTTCGTATGTCATCATTCTTCTTTCTCCTAAACAGTAAATTGTCAGTTATAGGCTGAATTTGAAATCTGAAATCCTTAAGTTATTACTTGGTACATTGGAAAGGCATAGCTAGCGAGAGCTTCTCGTATCATCTTCTTCTATGAGGTTTAACGGCGGTTGGCATCCAATAAATGTTGCATTACCACCACCAACTAGACTGGGGTATAAACCCTTAGACTTTGCATGGAAAACGGGAAAAATATAATAAAATAATACCCTATCATCTAACCCTACACTCATTAAACCCCCTCCCCCACCCAATTCCACTATTTTACCTAGTACTACCTCAGGCCAACGGCCTGGAAGGACGGGACACCACCACTCAATGCACCCTGTAATTCTTCTGACGTCAAATCTCGTACACCCAAAAATGAATCTGCAGCTGTCACCACAACCTCTATTTTCTGCGACTTATGTCCCATCCCTGCGGTACTGTTGATAACCATTGCTTTGAACACTAAAGAGCCAGTCTTACTGAAGCATGTATCACTCATTGGCCTATCCCTCTGTACTGGCACAGATCTACTACTCACACGAATCCTCTCAGGAACCCTCCTCCATGACCCATCTTCCTCTACTTTCTTCACTGCCTCAGCATACGACAACCTCTGCACTACTCTAACCCTGGTAACCTCAACCTGCCTCTCTCGCACCGGACACTTCTGATCCTCAGTCCCATGGGCACCCCTAAATTAACACATAGCCTACCGCTTCATTCCCCAATACTATACATTCTTTGTCTCATGCCCTTCTGCACACTTCTCACTCCTAGGAACCTCCCTCCTACACACTGCTGCCACATGCCCATAAGCATGACACCTGTAACACCGTACGGGATAACTGAAATATCCTAACATCACTTTGTCGGGCAAAGACTCACGCCCCCCTGTCTGCGTCGCTCCAAACGACGAGCATCACAAACACCGGGAATCTTCCCCTTCAGTTGGGGCTCCCAAGTGTCGCAGCGGTCTAAGGCACTGCATCTCAGTGCTTGAGGCGTCACTCGATTCCAGGCTGTATCACAACCGGCCGTGATTGGGAGTCCCATAGGGCGGCGCACAATTGGCCCAGCGTCGTCCGGGTTTGGCCGGTGTAGGACGTCATTGTAAATAAGAATTTGTTCTTAACTGACTTGCCTAGTAAAATAAATAAAATGTACCGCTACCCCAGTAATAACTCCTTTCAATGCCGCCCTTTTCTTGAGAGCAAAACAAGTCACAGCTCTTGTCCCCATAACGCGGCGCGCCTGCTCCCTCTTACCGGCAGAAACACAAACAATTATGTTTGGATTAGTCACTATAATGTCTAACATTTGTACAGCACTTTATTAATCACAGTGTTCGGGGGCAAAGTATTAGATCATTATTATGCATATGATATGATCTACTGAAAATGGTCACTTGACCTGTCTACAATTGAGATAATGGCATTTAAAATATGGTTGTTGTTTTACTTAGGATGTAAAACAACTGTCTACTTTATTTATTTTTTATAATTTCTCTAATGTCCTTTATCGTTGATTTCAAATTGACAATGGTTTCCCCTGTACAATTACAGGAAATAATAATGATCATACCGTGTCTCTGTGATGTGTTTTTTCCCCAGGTTTGATCAGAGGGACACATCCATCCTGATGACTTCGTCCATAGAGCATCCGACGCACCTGCTGGAAGAGAACAGAACTCCCCTGAGGCAACAAGCCGAGCTAAGGTGATGTGGACACCAATGAACTTGAAGCTCTCAACCTGCTCCACTACAGCCCCGTCAATGAGAATTGGGGCGTGCTCGGTCCTCCTTTTCCTGTAGTCCACAATCATCTCCTTTGTCTTGATCACGTTGAGGGAGCTGTTGTTATCCTGGCACCACACGGCCAGGTCTCTGACCTCCTTCCTATAGGCTGTCTCGTCATTGTCAGTGATCAGGCCTACCACTGTTGTGTCGTCGGCAAACTTAATGATGGTGTTGGAGTCGTGCTTGGCCATGCAGTCATGGGTGAACAGGGAGTACAGGAGGGGACTGAGCACGCACCCCTTGTTGAGGATCAGCGTGGCAGATGTGTTGTAAAAAAAAAATGAATGGATAAGCTTAATATTGCAGATAGATTGTATCTTCTATCAATGTAATTGTCTGCATCACTTCCAATCCCCCATGTTTTTTTTTTTATATATATACTCCCCTTTATTACTTTTCAACCCGACCATCCTTTCCCTACTTGGAGTAAATTAGTGAACAACAATTCCCAGGCCTCTACTTCCGGTCTATACTTACTATCTACACCTTATGGACAGAGTTAATTTTACAATAATTATATTATATATATATATATATATATATATATATATATATATTATTATTTTTATTTTTTTTATTATTATTTTTTTTGCTCCTGAAATTCTTCTACTCTCAACCTCTCTGATCATTTTCATGATGTCCATCCGGTTTGCTTCTATATGCCATATCTTTCTAACTGTGCTGTTTCCCAAAAGCTCCCAACATACAACCTATATACTTATTATGGACACAGTATGCTTACATTATTAGCTATCTTTGTTATTATTTGTTGTTATTTGTTATTAGTCCCATCCTTCAACTCTATTCAATACCTCCCATCTATCTCTTAACACCATCCATATAGGATTTCTATTTGCCATATATATTTCAACCGTACTGTGATGTTTTACAAAAGTTCTGAACCTTTCTATTCTCATTGCTTCTACAGATTGTGAATTAAAAATAAACATTTTTGCTAAAAGTATTATTATATTATTGATTGATTGACTATGACTTTTCAGAATACCCAGTAATGCTATCTGCAAGGTTAGCTCCAGGTAAATATTGCAATCCTTTAGCCATTCCTGGACCTGTGTCCAAAAACAAGCTACAAATGGACAGAACCAAAACAAATGATCTAATGATTCTGTCTCTTCACAGCAAAATCTGCAGAGCTGGGAAGATTGTATCCCCCATATAAATAACATTATATTGGTAGCAAGAATTGTATATAATAATTTAAATTGAAAGATTCAAATTTTTGAATCCGGTGTCGTTTTGCGTGTCAGTTCATAAACACTATGCCATGGGATCGGTACGTCAAAGATCTCTTCCCAACTATTTTGCAATCTATATGGGACGGCTTTCAATCCTTTGGTCCTTAAGTGAAACTGATATACTTTTTTATTTATCACAGTTTTCCTTAACCAATTATGTTCTTTAATGCAAGGCCGACAGACAAGTTCCTTACTTTCTCCACCTTCCACTTTCCTCTTCCACTTTTGCGGTAAGGCTGCAAATATTTGGTTGTAATTCGGGGTAGAGCAGACATTTCCATATGTTTTTGTTAGCTGCATGTGTGACATAACTCCACCAGTCCTACCGATGATATCATTTACGAAGATTATACCTTTTTTAAACATTCTGTCAAAAAATAAAGTTTTTTTGTCAAGTAGTATATTTGAATTTAACCACAATATTTGTTGCATTATTTGTTCTGTCGTTTCTGGAGGATTAAATTGAAATTGCAACCAACTTTCTATGGCTTGTTTTAGAAATAGTGATATTTGGGAGATTATTTCCTTTTCAAATAACTGAAAGTGAGAGGTTGTAATCGGAATAAAGGGAAAAAGGCCTTTGAACATTGGGTGAGACAATCTTACTAATTTGCTTGAGAACCAGTTCGGATTTAAGTATAACT